TTATTTATTTTTGAGAAACAGAGTGAGACAAAGCGTGAGCAGGGGAGGGGCAGAGAGAGAAGGAGACACAGAATCTGAAGCAGGCTTCAGGCTCTGAGCTGTCAGCACAGAGCCCGACGCGGGGCTCGAACTCATGGAGCCATGAGATCATGACCTGAGCCGAAGTCGGATGTTCAACCAACTGAGCCACCCAGGTGCCCCTCCAGTGCTGGTGATTCTTAAGAGCAAGTTTATAGTACACAAAATAGCATTCCAATTACTGTTTTCTATTTTACAAACAGTATTTGGGGGAGGGTTAAAATTGTTAGATATTGTAAAATAGTCCTTTTCTCAGGGAGTCTGTCTGATCCCAACTGCCACGAAGACAGTAAATCATGTAGCGCCATGACCTTGAAGTGATCTGCAGGACATGATGGCACGTATATTATTGTCTGTGCTAAAATAGATTTGGTAGATTTTATAATTTCATCCATGCTGCCTGTCTTTTCTGCATAGTGATGATTTCTGCTAGGTTTGTTGGGGTTAAATGAAATGGTACATAAAGAATGAAGTGTACTCTACCTGGGAATAAGGTGAAAATATGGATCTAATTTGCCTCAAATCCTCTTTAATAGCTCAGTGTGGATGAGTGTGTGTTTCATCATTGGGAAATAATTCTTATGCCAGGAGCTTTATTAGAGGAACAGTGAAAAATCTGTAATGTGGACACTTGGATATTTTGGCCATTCTGCCGTTAAGATAACTGTTAAATCAGTAACTGCAAATGAAAGTTGGGGTGGATGGAGAGTTCTCTAGTATACCTGGGCCATTTATTCTGTTCTGTCTAAATACTAAGCCCCTTCAATCTTAACATTTATTAGTAGGTTTGTGTTTTTGTGGGAGGAGTACATGAGCTGGTACTAGGTGTAACTTGCAGGGTGAGATTAGATTTGATTTCAGGTTCATCCTTACTGTAATCCCTTGTTGCTAGATACCATACCAGGGTGCCTGACACATAGTGTTCAATGATTCAGATGACAAGGACACCAGTAAAAATGGCCTAGTAAGCCAGACCAATCATTTATGACTTGATTCATGCAGCACTTTGCACAAAGTGAATGCTCAATAATAGCGCCTTTTATATTTGGTCACAGATGTGTCCAGGTGACCAGTTGGAACTATAGTAGCTGGAATACCACTCTTCCAACTGTGAGGTTTCCTTCTTCACTGCCAAAAACTAGACCGCTGGGTTAAGAAATCCTGAGCTGAAAGCTCAGTTTGGCCACAGGAGGAAAACGAATGAAGAAAACAGTGAAGGAGGGGTGCCTGGGTGGCTCAGTTGTTGAGTGTCCCACTTCAGCTTAGGTCATGATCTCACGGTTTATGGGTTCA